CTTGCCTATCTCACACTGCGATTTTTTTCTAAGCTCTATACTAAACATTAAATCTGTTACGAAGAGAAGAACTAAACAAAATAAACACAAAATGATAAGCTTTAAGAAAAGGATTCGTAACTGGAAAAACCGAATGAAAAAAGAATGTTAACAACAAATATTTTTCAAACCCAACCCAGTTCTGCGGAATCAGAATCAACGTTGAGTTTAAGCAAGCGAATGAGCCAATTGAAATAAAGTGCCATGCAGATTTAAATTTTTCCCACTTGTGACGAATGCAGCTATCTATTTTTTTTGCAGGCTAGCATGCTCGTTAACATTCATGTCAGTCAGCTGTTGGCCCTCACGCTGGCCAATAGAACCTTCCTGCCTATTCGTGGCAGCCATCTATTGCCTCTCACTCTGGCCAGTAGAAAAAGGCCGCAAACTACATAAAAACTGCCGTAGAAGCATGAAAAAATCGATTATTTCCACTATCGATGGGAGTTGGGAAATGCAAATTCGGTCTTGGCCTTCCCGCTAACTTGGAGCATGTGCATGTAAATTTTGGTGGAAATCCGTCGAAAATTGCGGCCGTGCATTCGTTACACAAACGCACACACATCCTGCCTTTTATTGATAATCATCGTCACACATCCTCCGACCGGCACTAAAATCTCCATTTCAAAAAGTCTCTTACATGCTAAAAATATTTCTACCAGAAAGTTTCCTAACTACTCAAATACTGTATGATATAAAAAAGTCCTACCTGTGTTACCTGCTCAAATTTCATATTATGTTCCCTTTTAGCTTAAATCCCCATTGAGAATTTTCCCACCTGTTAAAATCCTATGCAACATAAACTTTCCTCCCTACTCAAATCATGTGATATAAAGTTTAAAACTTGCTCAAATCCTGTATAACATAAATTTTCCTACCAATTCAATTTATATATAACATAAATATCTCTCGATACTGAACTTCTCAATAACAGAAATCTTTAAATCACTATTTACATTGTTCGGACTGTTTTCCTCATCTTTGTTGCAATATTCACGACGTTTCGACCATTGTACGCTCCGCCCTTCTTCAGGTAATTGAAATTTCTGAACCCGGGTAGATTGTTAGATAGTTAGACGTGCCATGCCTCTTCCGGTTATATCTTAGTATCAGTTATGTCCCTTTTAACTCAACTTTCCAAGTTTTTCTTCACTCTACTGCAAACAAGGAAATGAATTCACTGGTTTCAACCAATGCTTTTATCCATTGGGTCATGTGTCCTTGAGAACAACAGTGTATGAATTTATGGGACTTATAAACCTAATGTATCAGTACATTTTTTTACCAGAGCTCATATTACAATTTGTTGTTATTATTGATTTTCTCTAGCACTCCGTATTACTGGTTTGCATATTCTATTAATTACTATGCTTGACCAGCTTAGGAGATTTTTGTGGCCAGGAATGCTAGCTTTTTGTTGCTTTTCGCTCCATTGTGAACTGTATCGATGATCTTATTGAGTTCACATGGTCCAGTAGTAGATGGACCTCTTCCTGGTGTCGAGTATGAAGGTGTCATCTTCGTATCTCAGCCACAGAATTGGCTTTAGTGATTCAGATTCTAATGCCATTTCCTCAAAGTATTCCATGTATATGTTAGTCATTGCTGGTGATAATGGTGATCCCATTATTAAACCTTCATCCTGCCGACATATGTCTGATCCCATTCCTAAGTGCGTCGCTTGTGTACAGAAAGTCAGCATCTCCACCAGGTTATCTATTGGTATGCTGGTAAGTTCTCCTCGAGATGATTCCGAGGCCAGACTGTCCCAGATTACTGATAGTGCCACCTCCTTTCCCGACAGCTACAATCTGAACCTCTTCAAATCTAAAGTTGACTTTTATCTTTTACACATATCCTCACGCCTTTTACTCTTACTGCTTACAAAATAACCGACTTCAGTAACCATCTATCTTGAGTGGCTCTTGGACCTTCTATAGGGTGAAAAATAGTTAAAAATATCTTCGAGGACAGTCACTTTTGTAATTAAGAAAACAATTTTTTGATTTGGGGTTCATTATACAGTGAGGTAGTAAAATGATGACTAGTTTTACCAAAAAGAAAAAGAGATTCTGTTAAGTTCATAAGTGCATAAAGGAATGTTTTTCGAATATTTATTTAAGTATTTTTTCTAGCAATTTCGTGGGTATGAATATATCATCGATGTATATGTCGTTTATCTGTATATATATATATATATATATATATATATATATATATATATATATATATATATATATATATATATCATGTCTATATTATAGGTTTGGCAAAATTATTAAAGATTTTGTTTTTACTTGAATCATGTAGAAATTGGATTATTTTTGCTGATTTCTTTTGAACTTTAGACAAGCCTTTAGCTTAGTTTCTCCTTTCCCACAGACTTACCTACCACAGGGCCTCTTTGCTTAGTCAAATTCCAAAGTAAAAGAATTAACAGAATGTAAAAAAATTGAAATACGAAATACAAAGATTTGCAATTATTTACATAAAACTTTGACAATGTGTATATTGTGCATTGTAAAACAGGAAGAAATAGATCATTAGAACTAGTGTTAGTGACAGGCAGATGCGGTTTCAGATATTTATAATAATAATAATAATAATAATAATAATAATAATAATAATAATAACTAAAAACCCAAGTAATAATAAGCTGCAATTAAAGGCACAGAGAACAAGGCGATATGAAAAGTGTTGTAGATTCTATCGATAAGATATTCCAAACGGACCAAAAGAATTTTTATAGGAAAATTAGAAAAGCAGTTATAGAATTCAAAAAGTGACCATCTGTTGGTGAAATGCAAAGATTTTGGCAGAATATTTGGAGTAAGCCAAAGAAATATAATCCCAACAATTTAAATCAAACGAGAATAGTAATGAAGGATAAACATGTGCAAGAATGGAAAAATATAAGCAGCAATAATATTAGGCAAGCTCTTAACAAATTCCCCAAAATGGAAGTCCCCAGGAAATGACAAGGTACCCAACTTTTGGTTCTATCATCTGTCATCAATCTACAAAACTCTTGTTCAAACTTTATCAATGCTAATTAATAACCCCAGTGAAGTTCCAGAATGGATCACTGAAGGTATTACATATCTCCTATCAAAAACGATTGAAACAGATGATCCCAAAAAATTATAGGCAAATATCAATTGATCCCGTCTGTCCTGACAAACCGTATTTACTTTTTTCTCGGTGAAAACAACATTCTTCCCCTAGTACAGAAGGGATATCGAAGAGGCTCATATGGTTGCAAAGATCAACTATTGATAAATAAAATAATCCTGGAAAATTGCAAGAAAAAAGGTAGAAATCTAAGACCAGCTTGAATAGATTTCCGTAAAGCCTTTGATAGTGTGCCACACTCTTGGATGCTTGAGGCTTTGGAAATGTACTATTCCTCCTTATAATAAATGTACTATTCCTCCTTATAATAAATGTACTATTCCTCCTTATAATAAATGTACTATTCCTCCTGATAATAAATTTCCTTAAATATGGCATGGAACTATGGAAAACAAGTACATATGAATTAACGAGGGAGACGGTATAAAGCATTTAATTATGAAGATAAAGATCCCAAAAGAATATTATAGGAGGGTGCGTTTGATACTAGAAAGCAAACTAAATGGGGCCAATAAAATGAAGGCTACCAACATCTTACTTATTGTATTTATTTTTGTTGTTTTTAAGTCAAAATTACGACCAATAGAGTTTTCAGCCTTCTAGGGTTTATTTTATTTTCTAATATAAGGCATTTTCTTTATTCCACTTTATTACTCATACTCTTATCTTCATTGTTGTTGTTTTCAATCTAACATTTCAGCCGATACATTGTTCGGTCTTCATAAAGTTCATGTTGGTATTTTGAATTCATGCGTTATTTTTCTTGTCTTCCTCTTTTTTACTTTTCCAACTGAAATATTCTATTCAATCAGAAACAAATACAAAAACTCCGAAAAGAATTCTGAAGACTTGATTCTGTTTTCCGCCCGAGGAAAGTACAACAATTTATCAATAACTTAAAAAAACGAATATAAAGATACTTTTTTTCATTGAAATAAAACAAAAAAGCTGCTACCTTTTCTATCCACGTCGTGGTAACGGAAAAAGCAACACGAGCGACGAGTTGAATGATAATGAATAAACTGAAAATGACAAAATTTGGTTCGAATAACAACAAAAACAACAACAACAACAACAATAATAATAATAATAATTTTTTGCCTTAAAGAAATACAAAGAATTGTTCTCACGAGTACAGTCCACACCTTACATATGTAAAATATATATATATATTTTTTTTTTTTTTTTTTCAGTGGGAAATGTCATGTTGGCATTTCTAACCTTAGGTCTCTGGGCGAAACCCTGAAAGAAATGTGTACACACCAAAAATTAAAGGAAATATAGTAATAATAATAAAACGGTGCCTTGACATAAAGAATAAACTGACGTCGCAAAAAATAAAGAGGAACTGAAACAACAAATTCAAGCGAAGGCATAGAGATTGAATTTCTGAGACAAAGTGTTTCTGTTCTCTCTGTCCTTAATCACCATTTCGAATGAACTAAAGAGTAATGACTATGGGTACAAAGTAAACAAGTTAGTGTATAATTTTCCATGGATGATATGAAACTCTTTGTCAAAGATGACAATGATTTGAAGTGCATCCTCAATACTGTAAAATGTTTCAGCGCATAGCTACTTGTTCCGGAAGCTCCTGAGTTAGTCAGCGTTTCCGTTATCTTCTGTGTTCCGGCATTTTCTACGCATAGCTGTCATTCCTGTCACATACCAATCTTCTCCTGAGTTCATCGTCATCTTATACGCAAAGTAATCGTCCTCGATTTAAACTATAATTCACCAGAGCACAGCAGCATTTTCTACATCCAGCAATCGTCATTGGTGTACGCCTCTTTGCTGCGCACTCAGCTTACCTTTTTCCTTAACATCGGATGTTCCAGTTTACCTTCTACGCATGTCAACTGATTCAGCATATTCTTTTGCTCATCAATAGTTCCGGGTATTTCCTGTGTGTTTATCAACTCTTCTGGTCAGTATTCTACACATATCATCCTGTGTATACAATACTGATTTTGTGTGATATACCAAGCGTTACGATTTCCTCGTCAGCGGCGCTATATAAACTTTCTTTTCGAATCTATTTTTGACAAATGAACATTTATCATTACTAAGATTTCCACTTCCCAACTGCATCTTTTCATCTGATTTCTCCGCAACTCTTTTCAGCATCTACCTTTTACATTTTCCTTCTTGTATTTTGCATTTGCCAAGAATAAATTTTGGCATATTTATTTGAATTCCTTGTTTTTGCTGTCCTTGCTTTTGACCTGTCAGATAATTGTGTTCATTTTTAAATGTTAGCGGGCGACGGCAGAATGAACACACTTACGCTCGTCGTGTATTCCGCTACAATATGCAACATTTGCGGAAAGGAAACTGTAAGAAACTGGTTTGAACATCACCCAGATCCCGTTACAGAGATAAGACCTGTAACAATTTTATGAGACTTTACAATACACACAGACAGAACAATTAAAACTAATCGCCCAGATGTCGTGATCAAAGACCACAAATACAGAATGTCCTTTTTTATTGACGTGCCAGTCCCTGCAGATTGTAATGTATCTTTGAAGTTCTTCAAAAAAAAGTATCAAGATACAAGGATTTTGAAGTAGAAATCTCAAAAATGTGGCACGTGTGGACATTAATAATTCCAGTTATAGTTGTAGCCTTCGGATTGGTTGGAAAAAAGTTTCCGATAGACGAAGTGATTCCTGGTAGCCCAGGCCTTAAAGAAATACAAAAAACTAGACTTACAACTACAGCTCACGTATTACGAAGAGCTTTATCTATGTAAAATGAGCGTGATCTTTCTTTTTCAAAAATGATCATTGAAAAATGTCATTTCTGGACTTAGATCTCTGGTTGGGACCCGGAAGGATATGTGTATACAACAGAAATTAATTACAAGGAAGTAATAATAATAATAATAATAATAATATGTCCGAAGAAATTTAAATTTCTCAAATTTTATTGTTTCTCGTCGTTACTTCTGACATCGTCTGCCAAATCGATAAGCAAATAAAATGAAAGAAATACTACTACTAATGGATTGATTGATTTCTGTTTTTAACGGCATATCAACACATTATTGATCATTTTATGCCGAAATTTAATTTTCTTGGGAGCACTGAAGTAATAAAAATGTAATATATGTTACTCTGCTTTCACAATTGAATACATGGTAGATGATTCTCAGATTTTGTGCATATATATGTTTGTGTGGCCATGATTACTAGAGGAGGTGTTCGGTGTGTTTTATATTGTAGCCTTGTTGAAGTTATATTTTGGAATACAGTTTGATTTCTTTAAGAAATTGTAGGATATTATATGGATTAATGGCATGAAAGAATTCTTCCGTGTTGGTTGTTTGATTTTGTTTCATGGCATATCAACGTCTATGGATTATTTAATACAGAAATATATATATATATATATATATATATATATATATATATATATATATATGTATGTATATATATATATATATATATATATATATATATATATATATATATATATATAAAAAGTAGGTTGTAGATGTATATTTTGTAGATCATAAAATGTATCGTTGGCAATTTTACTATAAAAATGTACTGTTGATTTTTGATTGGAGTTCACGATTTACCTATAGCTGGGACCTAAACAAGTGCTACCACCCTAGGTCAGGTTGGACGTGGGAAAAACAGCAATTAAGAGGTGAATTAAGATGGTTCCACGCTCCTCAAAACCTCCAATCTCTTGATCTGAGGACTTCCTGCTGGTTATAGGTTATTGTCATACTCAGAACGAATTTCTAGTGGAAGTAAAGCAAAGTAAAATTACGATGAAAGTAATCCTGGTAAAGAATTTAATAACTGTTGACAATGCTCCATCTAACAAACATATATACTACTAATAATAATACTAGTTAACATAAAGCAAGTGATTAAAGAAATCCTATTTTAAAATTCATTTTTAAAAGTGTTCAGTAAAAAAAAGTTGTAATTCCGCCAATTTCTTGGCGTTTATCATTTTATTTCCTACAAGAATGTCCGATATATGCAAAAAGATAAACCTTTCAAATGTCAAGATGGTCTGAGTTTTTTTTTCAATGATCAAGGTTATTTTTCAATATTTTATGATTGGTTCTATTTAGTTTTTTTTCTCAACTTCCAACTTCTTTAAAATTTACTTTTTTGTTTTCTTTGAAGAAATTGAAAAAACAAAACATAAATGTCAATGATGTCGTATTGTTTTTAATTAAATGAAGAAGAAATTCTAAAGAAAATTACGATGACAGAATTATAACAAGAATAAAAATGGAAAGTGTTTTGTTATTCACTTTCGGACCAGAAGCATAGAGCAATAAATGTTTAAATAATTCTAATTAATATATAAAAATGTTAAAAATACAAAGCAGATACTTTTTCATATCTTTTTTAATTGTCTTTACTCTGTTTAGTTTCATCTTTTACTTATTTATTTATGTAAAGGGTTCGTTCGTAAATTTTTGTCTTTCTTTTTTCCTTTTTTCTTACTTTCGTTCTGAATTAATCATTCATTCGTCTTTCTTTTTTTATCATTTCATTCTTTCTTTCTACACGCATTCGCCATTCTGTTTAATTCATTCATTCTTTTTTTTTATCTTTCAGATTTCATTTAATTCTCATTCATTTTCACGTGAGTTTTCATTGATTTTTTCACATATTTGTGTATCTTTACTTGTTCTCTCTTTTCTCCCTCTCTCTCTCTCTCTCTCTCTCTCTCTCCCTCTCTTTCTCCTTCTCCCCCTTTCCACACGCGGTCTTTTTATTTTCTTTCTTTTCATCTTTTAATTCAGTTTTCCATCTTTTCTTCATTTATTCTTCATGTCTCTTCTTTCCCTTCTTTCTGTTTACCTCTTCCTTTTTTCTTTTCTCCATAATTTATTTCTTTTTTTAAAAAATCATTTCACTCCAAGCAAGGCAATAAAGCCACTAAGACAGAGGTTACTGAATATGAAAGAGTATGAAAAAAAAACATTCGTAAGAAGTGAGAACAATAAAAAACCAAGAAGCCAGAAGATAACGATTGACATTGCATTTACGCGTTTGAAAATCAAATTTGATTGGGAAGCAGGAAGCTAGAAGGGGGTGCCACAAGCGAGAAGTGTGATAGAAGAAACTGTTAGCATAGAATTTACGGTTGCATCTAGCCATTTCAACTGTAAAATAGTGAGACCTTGCCATCAATCTAGTACTACGCATAAATTCATAAAGTCAAGTTCGCGAGGAAAGTTTATCAAAACAATTATCAAAACAATTACCATAGAAGTATTTATAGAAAAGGCAGAACGAAGTTACATTACGGCCATGGGAAAGTGACTGAAGGCAATATACTAGGTCAGGATCAATAATATTACAGATTCTTCCTTGCATTTTGTTATGGTCCTGTTCCTTGTACCACGGTGATAGTCCAAGGTAGAACCAATAAAGAAGAACTCGAACACGTATATGGAATAACACAGATATATTACAAACAGGAATATATACAGAGAAGTAGAAAGTGTTAGTACGAACAATCAGGTTTAGTAGTAATTGTCTGAACGCGACTCTGTTTCGGACTGCCTCTGACTCGACCGACTGACTGACTCGCTCGCTCTGACTGACTGATAGACTTCTGACGGACCTCACTCCAGACTTCAGACTGAACAGTATTTAGTCACCCCCCACGAGGGCATCATATGGCACAAAGCCGGTTTAACGTGGGATCTCCGAGCCCGTGGGCTCAGCCAAAAATATACCCTTTGAACCCGTAGAAACGGGTTCAGGGTCGATTTACCTCCCCGAAAGAGTCTCCGCCCTTCGGCGTAGCCTCGTTCGGGTTCCTCCCCGCCTGGAAGCAGAGAGTTCAACCGATCAGCCGGTCGCCCGACTCCAGACTGAACCCCCTGCTTCCTCTTGAGGCGCAGTATTTATTACGTATGGAATAGTCCATTATGTTATTATGAGTAAGGTCCCATAACACATTTTATCAAGAATCCCTAAATATATAACAGGCGCACCATACCATATGTGGCAGCAATTTTCAAAGCAAGGACGAATAGTAGCCGTATAAATATGTAAGATAGATTCTGGAGAGAAAAATTGTACAGCATGACACAATGAACCAATTTTTCTGGAAGCAGACCTAGCAAGTAATTCTACATAAGTTTTCCATTTCATGTCAGCGAAAAAACATTTGACAGAAAAGGCGCAATATATTATTCTCCTGGGGGTTAGCATTAGCAATGCTGATGGAAGGTAAAAAGTATTCTCTCAGATAATTATAAGAAGGCAGTTTCGTTTTAGAGGCGTCGAAATTAACAAGACATTCCTTGCCTCAGTTAACAACAGAAATTATATCATTCTTTTTTATTTTTAGCTTAGGTGCCAATTTGACCTTATCGAACCACTCCGACCTACTATTAAGACAGGAAATGTTTGTGTCATCAACACAGATCCCGAGTTGAGAACTGATGCCATTAGGAAGATCATTGTGGGTTATAACGGCAGAACAGGTGGGAACCAAGCTGAAGATTGTGGCTTCATTTGGTATTTCTGAGAATAAACAAAAGCGTCAATGCTGACTTTGACTCAAGAAGAAATCTCCGTGGCACAATTCTTAATAGGAACGTTAACAATCTCAGTCCAAGGAGAATCTCGAATATTTTTTTAATCATGTCACCTATGCAAGGCAGTGAAGCCACTATGATACAAGGGGTTACTGAGTGCGGAGGAACAAGAAAAAAAGAGAAACATTAGGAAGCGAGAAGAATAGAAAACAGACATTTAAATTTTTGAAGATCAAAGTTGACTGAAAAGCATGGAACCGAAAGAGAGGTCAACAAACGAAAAGTGCGAGGAAAGAAACTGTTAACATAGAAGTTACGGTTGCATCTGTAAATTGATGAGACCTTGCCACCAATCTTAAATTCATAAAGCGAAGAGTTCATCCAAATAATTACCATGGAAGTATTTTTAGAAAAGGCACAGGGAATATCTCTCTCTCACACACACACACACACACACACACACTCTCTCTCTCTCTCTCTCTCTCTCACACACACACACACTCTCTCTCTCTCCTTCATCTATCTTACAATTATTTTTCTGCTGATCTCACACTCTTTACTTTCGTTGTATACAATGACGGGTCAGTAAGTCTGTAGCCGTAGTTTTCAATTAAATTTTGATTTGGGACTTTTACTTTATACAACTCTATTTATTTTATTAATAGAGAAGTATTAAGAGCATTGACAAAAGAGAAGATTATGTTCAAAAATAGATATTGCTCATATAAAATAAATTATTTTTAAATGATAAGGAATTATTGATTTTGTTGTGGATTCCGGGATGAAATCCGGTCTCAAAATGAATAACAAATGCAGGAATGAAATATAGCAAATCAATGTATTGACATAATAATACAATTGGTAATACAGTTAGTAGATCCAGAAATGCGGTTAGTAGCAATAATAATATATATACAGTCTGGGAAATTCAGTATCGAAGTATCCTTCTGAGTCTACGTGCTCGCAACTGTGACTCCTACAAAGCGGTTACCTCACACTCGACTCTTCCGGTTAGCTACAACCCGTTCACTGTTAGTCTCCGACTCGACTCTGTCACTCACTCTCTCACTCCCGGGTATTCACCGGCAGTAGTACAAGTACCCACTGGGCGAATCCACTTGTATAAAAAGGGGTAGACCCCGTAACAGATTTTCTTACATATCTTCAGTAAGCATAGGTCACTTTGACATGGTGTAATGGCTAACAAGTTTGTCTCTCTAAATCAATTGCCACTGAATAGTGAGTTCGATCTTCACTTGGTGTTCCATATTTTCCGCCTTACGCCACATCTAAGCCACACTTCGAAAACCACCACTCTGAGGTGTGGTGTAAGGGTTAGCAAGCTTGACTAGCTAGATCAATTATGGTTGAGTAGTGAGTTCGATCCTCACTTGGTGCTCCATGCTTCGGCCTTGTGCCACAACTTCTGAAATAGCTGAAAATGCCAAATGTTGTTTCTACTTAGTAAATGGGGTAACTAACTGTCACGTATTTACACACACACACACATTCATACTCACACAGTGGCACACACACATATTTGAACATTCACGCATACAATCGCACTACCACGCTTACACACATGTGCTCACTCATGCTCATATATGCACACACAAATCCACAAAGACAGCCAGACAAAAACAGATTAAGACTATCGTGAATCAAATTTGTTTATAAAAAAATGGCGAATCCCTTTACCGTAAAAAAAAAATGTTACTATCTTCTCTCTTCAACTGTAATGAATGGAATATGGGGGCTGAGAAGTGTAGCGTAAGTGTTGGGAGGATGTCAAGGGTTAAAGGTGATGAGAGAGACATTTCTATATAATCTTTGCCCAAATAGATCCACCTCCTTTTTTCAACAACCTGTTATTGTAGCGGACCGAAACAAAGAAAGAAAAAGAAAAAATACCCGTAAAATTTCTTGCTGTTGAGTTAGTATTTCTTTTCACAGATTTACTCACTAGCACACATGCTTCCTCACACATATATATAAACACATATACATACATCAATATCCACACACAAGCATATACATACACACAGTTAAATCAACGTATGCACACACATACATATGTCCAAATAGTGCCATTCAAAAAGAGTATCTTAAATTAACTTACCTGATTGTAAATTGAATATTTTCCCACTCTATTCTTATCAGAAACAATCTATCCCGGTACTTTGTATTCTCGTCTACCATTTTGTAATCTCGTCTGCCATTTTGTAATCTCTTCTTCGAATTGTAAAATTCGTCATCTGTTAAAATAGGATTTATTCGAAATTGTTGAAAAGCTTATCGATAATTCATCTAATCCCCAAAACGTGAAATTGGGCCATTTCAAAATTTCAGAACAGGAATGACAATAATTTTTCATAGAAATTGATATATAAATATTGTGTTAAATACATACTTCTTGAAATGGTAACTCATTCAACCAATATATCTTGGCGTGGGTGAATGAATATATTTTAGCGTGGAGTTTTCATTCATGAATAAAAGGATTTTCTGATTAATAAAGTAAATTAAAAGTCATTTCTAAGAATCTAATCCTAACGATATTTAGTAATGTGCGCAGTAGTAGTAATTTTAAACACGGTGAACAAAAGGAGATAAGAGACATGACTTACTTTCGTCAGGGCGTTGCATGTTTTTCTGTGTAGAAAAATCATCGCTGACTGACGCTTCAAAATTGGATCAAAAATTGCAAACTGTGGGGTGTAACTTACTTCCCTATTGGTTAAAAAATCATAAATCATCTCCTTGCTTGTTTACAAACTTTATTTTAGCCTTTTTGACACTATCAGGCTTAAGTTTCTCTTTTTCAAATTTTTTAATACCAAATTTTATCCATATATCTTTTTTTATAAATCGTCAAGCATCATTTTAGTGGCAGCTCTTTTTTAGAAATTTTGAAACCCACATTTTATTCAAGCCATTTTTACTAACCGTCTGGCTTTCTTTTCATAATTATTTTTTTAAACACGCCCTCAAAAGAAAGTGCGATAAATAAAGCTAGTCTATTACAATAATTTTTTAATATTTACTCTTTAATTATTTCTATATAATTTTACATTTCGTTTTTATTATATAATGTTTTATAAATAAAATTACCCAAAATGAAATTTAATCAAGGTCAAATCAAACGACAAAATGTATAAATAATTAAAGTCTTGTATGGCTTAAACTAATTCAGATCAATATTAAATTCAAT